TTATCCACCATGATTGTGCATGCTTGTGCTTAGCAACTTAGGGGTTGTGCATATTTTGTGCTTAGCATCCTAGGGATTGTGCATAATTGTGCTTACCACCCCCTAAGTTTGTGCATTTAGGTGCTAGTAATCTAATTTGCCAACTTAGCCTAGTTTAGAGAGGAAAATCCCTTTTTTTCAAGGGAGACTCAATCGAGTTGGTTTTTCTTTCGCTTTCCAAGCCACCTAAACTAGGTTGAGTTAAGGCAACCCTCAATATTGAATTGAACAAGTCGATTTATCGTGGTTTAACCGTCCGATCTTAGAGTTGCGTGTGGGAGTAAGTCGATTACCGATTGTCTAAACTGAGAGGGTCGAGTGACACGACCTTTCATCCTCACCTCGGTTTAGCAATTGACACTGTGGTCTCCGACCACATACGCTTTCCTCTGCGGTTCACGATTAATGTGCCGAAGGAAACCGTTTCAATCCAACGAGTAATGGTAGCTAGTTAGGGGGAAGCAATTCCTAGGTAAAGCTCCCTTAGTTAGATTTTTCCTTTATTTACTTTTCCTTGCTAGTTTAGTTTGTAGATCCATTAGTTATAAACCCAAAAATTGCTTGCTAGATAACAACCTAAGAGATTGAAGTAGGGGTACATGGATCGGCCCGGTTGACAATTTAAATACTTGCTCTATACTGCACCCGACTAGAATTTAAAAACTTGGGCTCTAGTCGGGATTAATTTGTGGTGTAGTTTCGTGAGAGTCACTTTGCATCCCTTAATACAGCCGGAGAGGGTTAGAGTAACAAAACTCTATTTTTTATATGCTTTTGAAAAGAAAAAAACACGTTCGTATTATGTACGTGGCAGCTCTAGTCACCATCTTCAGTTCTTCAATTATTAGGACCAAACCATGGTAGCTACTCTTAGAAAAAAGAGGCCTACAGTGTTTCATGGCCTATGTACATGGCACATCCTCATGAATGGGAAGAATCATTTTTCTAAGGACAAGAGCGTTTGTAATGAGTTATATCTTACTTTCCTTTTCTACAATGTCGACAATGAGGTCGAGTCTGATATGGCTTGGAACACCATGCTAGAAGGTTGTTCTCCCACAATAACTTTTTAGATGGTGACCAGTGGTGTAATATATAGTTAGATTTCGAAAGCAATGGTATTCCTCATGGATGAGAGATCAATTCACGTCCAGGATGTTGACAACCCGAGCGAGTCGTGCAATATAGTTGTCCGAGTTTTCTTGCAACTCAACCATAAATTGGACCAGTTTTTAATTCACTTTAATATGTACCTAGGGACAAAATAGCGCATGTATCCACATTTTTCTGAATGTTTTTGGTAATGAATCATAACTCTCCCTTCCTATTTTTTGTTTGCTTGCTGCCAAAACCTACAAGAAGACCACTTCCGAATTTGAAGCCAAGGAAAGGATCCCCCATCTCGCAAGTTTAATAAGCCAGATCCTCCAATAAGCAGCTAAGATTTTCACCCATAACATTTTCTACTGTATATAATATCACTTTTTGAAAACTAAAGCATATATACTTGAGCAGCATGCGCATACACATACTCATTGGTTATGTTACATTCAAGATGAAGAATGACAAGCGTCGCGATGAACGTGTTGTTCTGGTCAATATTCCAAAGACGAACCTAGTATGTGAATGTAGGTTGTTCAAAACCTTTGGGTTGCTATGTCGCCACATGCTAAAGGTGATGTGAATGCTTGGAGAAACTAATGCAATGCTTAATCAGTTTGCAAAAAATAATGTCAAAGGGTGATGAGTAAGTGTACAACAAGCGGATGACAACAGTCACTAAAGTGTGCAAAGAAGCAATCTGGCAAACAATATGTTTTTAAGAACTATAACAAGCGAGACCAATAATGTACCAAATATGATTTGTACATGATGGTGAATGTAAGTTGTACATGATGTTGTACTGAAAATTTGTTCATTGAAGGAGGGTATGAACCAACTAGTGCTCTGACTTTTAAAGATAAGCAAAATTTGAGGAGGCACAACAAGGAACATTACAATTCGAAGAATGAGAAAGAACACTGTCAGAAGAAGACTGTGTATAGGAAGAGATTGAAATTGCTAGAAGTACTTTCTCAACTCCCTAAGACTCAATATGAAGGGAAACCCGAGTTGCAACTTAGTGAATATGACGATGAAGTTGTGAAATTGGTTATGCAGACAATGTAGGATTGTGTTGTGATGTTGCTTTATCTACCAGACTACTTCTGGTTGATAATCTCTCCTAAGAGTTTGAACAAGTCCATCCAACTTGCCAACTCACGGTCAATGACAACACTCACAATCTCAAGCTGAGAAGCCACAAGTGAAACTATAAAATGATAAAGGAACTGTCAATCCATACATGGAAAATTAGTATTAAGTATAAAGTTCAAACTAGAATTCATCACATAGAAGACAATAAAAAAAACACTACAAAACTAGTGTGAACATTCATTACAATTGGTGTAAACAATATTGGGTAACCTATTTTCAAATATCATTTGTCTTGCTCTCACAAAATGACTTCCCTCTTTTAGAACTTTGCTCGTCTTGATTTCCACTTACTCAACATGACCTCGGTGATCAACTTCAAAACCTTAAGCTACACATATGATGTAAAACATTCAGTTCACTCTATCCAACACATCTACGAACCCGACATTTTAAGCTACACAAGACAAAAGTCATTTATATACCTGGTTTATATCAAAAGTGTCTAAATCAACTTTATCCCACCAGTCCGAGTTAACTGATAAGGAGCTGAGCTGCTTTACTTTTCCCTCCCTAACAGCTGACTTTAGTTGCTGCATCCAAACCCGGATTTGACTTTGGCCCTCATCATCAGTAGGCTACTATCCCACCGTTCCACTTTGTCTAGACAACTACGATAAACTTGGCCTCTCTGGCTTTGTGCCAGTAGTTGTAGATAAGGGTTATGGAGGTGCCCATGCCTCTCCCCTTATGGAATTCCAGAAAATGAACGTATAAGAAAATAGTCAATTCACAAATGTTAGGACTGTACATCACAAAATATACCACAACAAGTGGTCAAGCTCAGAAAATACAATCATGAAGTGGACACTCCCTACCCATTTCCCGACTTCTTTTACCTTGTACTTTAGACGGTGCCACCTTCAAATCCCAGACTTATTTTGATGTCTTTGACCGTCCCAGCTTGACAACACTATGAACACCAGACCTCCGCACCTTTAAAGTAGCTTTCATAGCAAACAACTTCAAACAAAGGTTGTAGTTTCAGTTTCCTGGCATACCAAGCTCTTCTTCACAAGTCTGCACCAGATATTTATCACACTTCTTAGGAAAGCAATGTTTCAGTCCCACCTACATGAAGCCCATATTCAAGGGCCACATCCTCATCTTCGAGGGTAAACACCATGTGGTTCTCTCCTCACCGAAGATAAAGGTTCCTAGGTTGATATAACCTGCAACACAGAAGATGTGTGGTAGCGGATTTCTTGCAGGAGGTCTTCATCGTCAACTACTTCTTCATCGATATGTGCTTTAGCATCGACATGCAGTCAACATTTATGTTGATTTGGGATGGTCATTATCCAGATGGTTCATCTCCCAAATTACCTCTCTTATCAATCACTTTAAATCCAGTCATCATTTAAAAACCATGAGTAAGAGAAAAGATTATTGTTATTCATCCTAGAACAAACTGTTATTCATCTATGAACTAGTATCCACCCTATAAGAAACGAGTATCCAACATGAGACAAACTAGTATCCATCAAGAAACCAACTTGTATTCAACATCCAAGTACTACTATCCATCCTACAACAAATTGTTATTCATGTACCAACTATTATCCATCCTACACCAAACAAGTATTCAACATCTAATAACTTGTATCCACTATGAAGAAAACTAGTATTCCACGACTCTGAACTTGTATGCAACATCTAATAACTAGTATCCACTATGAAGAAAACTAGTATTCCACAACTAATAACTAGTATCCACCATGTACCGAACTAGTATTTAACCAACTAGAATTCACCGGATACCAACTGTCATTCCTTTGGAAGAAAAGAAAAGCAATCAAATAGCCACAATCAACCCGATAAGCCCAACAAAACCCACAACCCCAATGACATTAACAACTACATTGTTCGCTTTTCATGTATACGAACTCGTACCAACCCCCCCACCCCACCCCCACCCCGGCCAAAAAAAATAGTATCCAAGAAACCCTAACTCCTATTCGTAAAGAATAAACTACAATCAAAACGTAGGACACCAACCTGAATCAGAGACAGAGGTTGTTGTCGCTTGCACTCTCTCTTTCGTCGTTCATGTGTGGCCTTCTTCTGTGCTCTCTACCACTCACCCTCAAAATCTTATCATCTATCTTCGGGTCGATAAAAGAATATTAGAATTTGTGTTAATCGCCTCTTTCTTATTTTCACTTGGTGCTTCGCACACGGAATGAGCCGGGTTTCATCGGAAATGGATGTCGAGTAAGCAAGCATCACTTCATGAGTTTGGGAAGAAAAGAGGAAAGAAAGAATCATGTGTCACTTGATCAGAGGGAAAAGAGAGAGGTGAGAGAAGAAAGAAACTGAAAATATAAATTGATTATTGAATTGTGGGACCAGCCCCAACGAAAAGGATCAAAGCCTATATATAATTAGGTCTATCAATGTCATTGTGAAGTTTAGTGATCAACGCAATTCATTTACAAAAAAAAATCAAATTTAAATCCATAAAATATGGTCAATACAAAGTATTAGAGGAAAGAAAAACACTTTGGAAATTCATTTACAGGAATAACTATTACTCTTGAGTGAATAAGCACCGAATTAAGTGAATAATTACCAAAGGCGTGAAAGAACACAACAATAGATGTGTTGTAGCTCCTCGAGAGACATCAAAGTTTTTCCGTAATTATGACCCAACTGACGAGCGAGACACTAAACTAGTCCAGACTATCCCATTACTATCACTCGCAAGGGAATACGGGGTGGATTTATAATTTAGGAAAGGGAATAGAGTGAACACTATCGAAGTGTATGGACTATGTAGCAAACACTTGTTGAGTATGTGAATTCAAGCGTTCTAGAGACTTTGCTGCACAGGCAGCACAGCACAGTAGCAGTTGATAGTAAATGGGACTAGAAACAGAGTAGCACAGAAGAATAACTACTACTCGAGAATTATAGAAATTAAGGGATGTACATAACAAGCAACGTGATCTTCAGTTTGCAACTTCCAATTTCCACAGGCTTTCTAAGACATTTGATCTCATAACAAAACTTAACACTACCTACTAATAAGATCCAAAAACCAAAACCCAACATATATAACAGGACTTGTTTTCTCCTTCACTCTCTGTTTTCCCTGTTGCTGCTTCACAGCAAGCATTCTTTATGATCTGATTTCCATACTATGATACTAATAAACACCACAGATATAGACTACAAAACGACTTGCCCACACATTCTTTTTTTAACAGAGTGGCATAGAACCATCAAACATTGTTGCCTTGTGAGTTGGGCGTGCTTTCATTAGTAGGCTCAATCCTCCTCATCATGAAATCCGGTTTCACCGTCGGGTCGTCCTCGTCATGGTACGCGTAGGCAAACCCGCCATGCCTCGTCATATCCATGCCCGCCACCTCATCTTCGCCGGAGATCCTCAACAATTGCAGCTTGTGAAGCCCATAAAACAACGGTGCCATCGTCGCGGTGACCCAACCGACGATCACCAGAATCTGCACGACCTGGGCAGCCAACAGCTTCCCTCCGCCGCCCATGAACAACCCGTACGGCCGGTCGGGCTTTCCTGGGTAAACCTCGTTCACAAAATGTTTGGTCGCGAACAGCCCGGTGAAGAGTAAACCCCACGCCCCGCACCCGCCGTGCAATTGCGCTGCTTCCAGTGGGTCGTCATATTTCAGCTTCTCAGCCAGCTTGTTGCACCCAATGAGAACCCAGGCCGCTACGAACCCACACACTATCGCGGCCCACGGTTCGACCACCGAGCAACCCGAGGTGATCGCAGCGAACCCACCGAGCAAACCGTTGCAGACATCGGTCACAGTCCAGTGACCGACCATCAGCCGCTTGCTGAAAAGAGTGGTCAGAGCAGCCGTGCACCCGGCCAACGTCGTGGTGACAGCTGTCCTGCCAATCGCACTCCACTGCCCGTAATAGTTTCCACTCTCGCCGTAGGCCCTCACGATTGTCAGAAACGAACCGGGGTTGAACCCGTACCATCCGAACCACAGCAAGAACGTACCGAGCACAACCAAGGAAGCACTGTGCCCACGCAGAACCACGGACCGACCACCTCGGTCGAACCGGCCAATCCGCGGTCCTTCAACAAGAGCGCCCCACAACCCAGCAACACCACCAACCATGTGAACCACGCCCGATCCAGCAAAGTCAATGACACCCGACCCGAACAATAGATCGTTGGTATCGGTTCGGGTCGCACTGGCCCACCCATCAGCAGACCAGACCCAGTGGGAGACGATCGGGTAGACAAAACCGGTCAGGAAGGAAGAGTAAACCAGGTAAGCAACAAACTGGGTTCTCTCGGCTATGGAGCCACTGGTGATTCCAGCTGCAGCGATTGCGAAAGCCCACTGATAGAGGAAGAAGCTGTAGTCGGCCTGAGGGGACGGGAAATCATGTAGGCCGAAGAAGTGCTTGCCGATGAAACCGTTGCTAGGTGCGCCAAAGGCGAAAGCGTAGCCGAAGAGGTAGTAGGAGAGGCCGCCGGCTGCAGCGTCGAGGACGTTGGTGAGCATTATGTTCATGGTGTTCTTGGCCCTGACGGAGCCCGCGCAGAGCATGGCGAACCCGAGCTGCATGGCGAAGACCAGGTAGGCAGAGAAGAGGAGGTAAGTGTTGTTGATTGCATAGTTTGTGTCGCAGAGCTGGCTGGAGATGGAGGATAGCTGGGAGCAGAGGTAGGCTGCTGTTGCAGCTGCCTGGGTGGAGTTTTGGGTTGAGGATAGAAGAGAGGCGAGGTCTGTGGCCGAGCAAGTTGCTGCTGCAGATGCCATGGTTTTGTGAGGTAGCTAAGAGAGTGAGAAGAAAGAATGGTGGGAAGAGAGTTTGGTTTGAATGTATATATAGAGAAGGTAAATAATCAGGGTGTAAGGGGAACAGGTGACAAGTTGACAATTGCTGAGGAGATCATCTGTTGTCCACATTTTTTTTAAACCTGCAATAGTTAAATGTAATAAAAGTTAATCAAAGAATAATGATGATGCTTATAATATTACATGGTCCACATTTGGCAACCAAGTGAAGGTGCTGACCAGAAATTATTGATCGGCGGAGGACCTTTCTGTGCCTTCTTCTTCTCCTTTGTTGTTTTCCTTCTGTGGGAGTTTATGGATATGAGGGATGGGCAAAGATATCAGTTATAAAGCTGGTGTGAAGGGAACCACAAATTGGGTTTCACATCACACAGAAGAAGATAAGCCATTGAATAATGTGGGGGAGTGAATGTCTTGGCTTCTACCCAAAAGGACAACATAGTAGGATGAACCAAATTGTGAAATCGATCTGTGTTTGTCTTTCTTGAGAGCTGGACAGTTCCAAGAATGAAGCTTCTCATATTGTCAGTCTGTTGTGGTATAGTTAAACCATGTTACAATTACCAAGTCACTATGATTCTATCATATGATTTTTTATTTGTTTTGTTTTGGCAAAGCCTAATCTCCAGACAAACCATATGATTGGAGCAGTAACTCACCAGGGCACTATTCTGAAGGGCGTAGAATAACCTACTGAAATGGCAGAGGGTTAGTAGAGTGACGATTCATTGATATTGACATCATTATAGTAGACTTCCAATTCCGACACTTCAAAGAGCCATTTCTGCTGGGGAGGGATTTAAATACGTATTGTATGTAGTTGTTGGTGAGTTTTTAAAAGTCCAATCACAAAGTTGAAATTAACTACCCCGATTTGTTCATTATATAAAGCAGCAAGAATCTGTTGCCTCTTTTACAAACAAACAAAAAAAAAATTGTTGCCAGTGTCATCATTACAGACTCAAACAAACAATGTTCTGAATCTGATACTGACTAAAAGAAGTAAAAAGAAAGGAACTGTTCTACAAAATTATGACAATTGGAGTTAAGGGTAATGTTGTCAATTTAGATTGTTACGTGGGTTCATAAATCGGTTTTAACAAATCATGTAAGGAAAGTTGGAAAATTATTGACACCAAATATATATAGCCTATCTTAAAAAATTCTCTCTACATCGAAATTTAAATAACAAATCATCTCTATATTACAAATAAAATGACAAATCATCATTTCAAAATGCAACATTCAACAATAAGATTCAAACCTTGTACACTTGAATCCAACTAATAACATCTAAGCGTTCATACTCAATCCAACAAAAAAAAATTGTTAATTAATTTAATTCGGTTAAAAGACTAAATAGTGCATCATTCAGGGGCTCAATTCCCTTATCTACGAATGAGATGAGTGATATAATTGTCGTGAGACAAAGAGACGGTCTCCAATAGCCAAAAGAAGGTACCAACTTCTGCCGCTAATACTTCATCCAATTTTTGTGGTCTCTTCTCACAAAAGAATTATTCTATAATTTGATTTTTATTTCTTTGTATTTTCACAACGGCTTTGTTCTCGAATCTCCTATAATTTTTCTATGGGGAACTAGAAAGAATTATTCTATACTTTTTTCGGTGCAATTGTAGCATTAGTATCAAATCTTGTAGGAACTAGAAAGTTAAAAGTGAAGGTCAAGGATCAGAGTTTACCTATATTCTTATAGAGAATTTACTAATTTAGAAAACTATTAAAACTAAAATTGTAGGAAAGTCGATTAGTGGGGGGGATTACGTCTGATGCCAAGTTGTAGCATTTCTATTTACATAAACAATGCAGAAAGTATGAGGAATCAATATGAAATATTGTCATTATTTGGAAAAATGAATATTTTCAAATGAGAAACCCCAACGCAACGTATTTTAATGAAATACCGAACAGTTTGAAGAGCTCATCAGAAATTCCAGCCAACGATTATTCAGTTACGTGCAAAGTAGGAATGATTTGAAATGGAATGACAGCCACTTGCAGACTTATATAATTGAACACTTTCTATGCATTTGAATTTGGTCATTTTGAATGCAAGGGAAATACCAGAACTGATCTGAAACACACACAGATAATTCCAAATACATGAAATAGATAGTAGATTAGTAGTAGGTACTTTGACAAATGCACTCAACAGATAATTCCAAATACATTGCACTTAATCCAGTAATTAATGCTTTATTGCTTTTACACAACTAAGCTATCTCAAATACGTCGTAGGCTTTTTTTTAACTGCAATTGGAAGAAATGAACAAATAGCCCATTTCAATTTTCTAAATTTCTCAATGAAAAGACTGCTGTATTTGGAGAACGGCAAAAGTCTGGAATGCCAATAGGCAAATAGCAGATGGTGTTTGGTTACTTACCAGAAAAAGATGTGCAGAAATTTTACTGCTCGCAATGCGGCGACCCATTCGTGGTTGACTTATTAATGTCTACCCATGTTCCTTTCCTGGTGACATTAGTGATGATGCATCTGCAGGGGAATCTTCTGATCCTCCACTTTCTTTGACTTGCATGAAATGGTATTTGGATTCCAGATCTGAGCAAAGGATAAAGAAATAAATGTCCTAAACATTGAGCTAAGGACAAAAAGCCTAATATAGTTTGATTCCACATCTGAGTAAAAGGATGAAGAAGCAAATTCTCTAATTAAGCATCGTGCTAAGGATGAGCAGATTCTAAGGAAACGGCACTGGCACAATTTCTTCCCCTGCTTCCTTTTCAGCTATAAACACATAAGTTGGAGAGATAACACAACACAACCCTAAATGACACAATTTCAGTTCACTGGAAATCACAGCTCTGCTCCAAGTTATGCATCAAATAATCACAGGATTGCAACCCAGAATTCCAATTATCATTTAGTCAGCAGATTATGCTAATAGGCTTTGATAAATTTATGGTGGCAAGAGATCTAAAACAAAATCCACTTTTACCATGACGGCCAGCACAAGCTTGGGAGAACCAATTGATAAAAAAGTGTAAAATCTGTCATTGTTAGCATTAAGAATTAATGAAAGGTTATGAATAAGAAAATTACATGCCCTCTCAATGAGCAAGAAGGCACTCAAGCACCTAGAATAATCAATCAGCCCAGTTTCTATTTTAGATTTTAGCAACATAGACAGTAGGAAACAGGCACTTAGAAGCTTGAAAATAGTATTAAGTAAAAGAATCTCCTACCTCAAGAAAAGATCTTGCATCGTCAGATTGTGGTTGCACAAGTGTTCTTTATAATTGTTTTGTACAGATGAACCAGGCAAGCAAAAGAATCTGAATTTAATAATAATAAAATTTCACATAAGCCCAAAGTATTGATGAAAACGAAGTTTCCAGAGAGCAAATTATGAGTTAAATAAGTGCAGAGAGAAACTGAACATGAATTATTAATCACCTTTTCTTACCTGTCAGCAGGTTCATACATCATGTGATTGGGACTCATTACTTAAATTTCTGCAGGTTCTCATCACAGGCTGGAGAATTTCAATGGCTTAAAAAGATTCCAGAATGTAAAGCTCAGACGTTAAACAATATATTAAAGAGCCTTGGTTGGACAGTGAGAAGATGTAAGAGTAGTTCCAAAAAGACAGATCTTCCCCAATTCCGTCCCTCACTAAGATTCGAGGACAGAAACTACAGTTTCTGGAATTACACAGTGGATAAACAGCTAAAGCAGCAATGGTACTCTTTTTAGATTTTGTATTCACTCCCATATCAAATAGATGATCAAACAAATGTCTATATCAAGTTATGCTATTTCACTTCTTCAGAAACTTCCTATGGCTCAACTATTTGTTCACTAACCATAAATGCTGTAAGAATAAGCAGGTCATATTCATGTCCTTTTTTCTCCCTACAGTAAATGGATTCAATTCATTGGTTCCCTTGAATATGACATAAAAACTTTTAAGCTCGACTACTGATCATTTGCAACCCATTCTAGTATGAAATTGTATGAATTCTTCTGATTGTTAAGTATGCAGTAGTCTAGTTAAAGATATAGCTCAATCCAAATTACATCAACGGTTGGAGAAACAAAAACAAGTTGAGCTGAAGTTAGGTGGAACCTAGAGTCAGCTGCTTCACTTTCAAAATTATCTAGAAGGCTTAGACCTTAGAACACTTACCAATAAATCTTAACACCTCATCTTCCCAAACCAACAACATTAACCATCATACAAAGCCTGTGGAAACATAGTTTCGAGCTGTATCCCAACTTCCGTAACATTCCCATTCCCTTTTCTTGACATGTTAATACTGAATAATCGTGTTGTGGGAGATCTACATAATTTTCTTTCCATCACCCTTCCCATTTTGACAAGGGGAAGAAAGCATGTTTCAGAACAAAGACTTCAGTCAACAAACCTTTACCAGGCTGAAAGAAGATAACAAAATAATGCCAACATAAATCTATCACCATGTTAGTAATAATATTCTGCTCGTTATAGGTTGTCCTACAAATTGTGTTCAAACTTGCTGTAAAAATCAGATAATTGAAAAGGAAAAGGATGGTCAAGTTTTACATTCTTTTCCTATTTCAGCTTCAAGTCATCATCAAAGCAAAACATGAAGAAGAAGTGACATTCAAGAACAAAAGTTGGCAGTAAATGACATTCTTATTTGCAGCTGCATACAAATTACACTGCAAAGTGGACATCTCAATTCTAACAGAGTCCACCCATGCTGCTTCCAATTTTAATGAGGCAGAAATACTAAACTCTTCAACAATAAAATTAAGCTGTACTGACTATAAGCATAGTCAAGAGCAACACTGAAGTATGCATCCTAAAATGCAACATCACTTGTCCTCTGACTTCAGCTGCCATGCCAAAACCACAAGTCCCAAGGTGGTAAAAGCTGACAAAACTGTTGACGAGTAGCAAAGCACAAGTAGTACTCCTCTTAGAGACTGCATTCAATAGGTCCTAAAGTTTAGTAATGTCTTCAATGGGATCATTAGAAGAAGAATAGAGTAGCCAATTGAGGTCTCACCTTAGCTAGCAGTAACGCATTGTCATTGGCATACTGCAAAGAGCTCTCTGGAATGCTTTGAACACCCCGGCCTAGTTGCCATGAAAGGATTCTACATCCCAAATAATGTTTATTTTTTCAACCTTCTGGCTGAAAATATATTTTGAAAGAGAAAGTAAATCTCAATTGAAATCATCCACTTACCCAAAAACAGCTCCAATGATAGCCCCGATATTAGCTTTCTCTGAAGTTATTGCAACCTGAAGGTCTCCAAACTATACAAGCATTCGCTTTTAGTTCCCGGTAGCATTCAACTGTAGATGGATGTCATAACAATAGAGCTATACCTTGAAAACTTTGGTATCTGTCATAGGTTCCTTATCAGTTGTTTCATCTATGGGAATGGCAACCAGAGACTTGCCAGTTGTAATCATTGTCTGTGCAACCTATAATATCGAAGGAATCCAACAAACAACATCGTCACAATTTTCTGAAAGCCAACAAGTAACTATCCTTCTTATAACATTCATGAGCAGAGAAAGCTGCTTCTTTAACACTAGACAGAAAGCAACAAAAAAGGCTAATTGGCCATAAATAAATACCACCATGTGTAGTTCTTTCAGTCTATTGATACCGGTATATCCCAAAAGAAATTTTCTGGGCGACATTTTGGCATGGCTTGCAGCAATATGCAAACAGTAAAACCACAAACCTTATTGATTCATGTAGAGTACCTTCTGCAATTCACCCTGACCATACTGACCCATGGACTGGAATCTCCTTCCAGCAGATACCAAGCGCCTGCCCAACGCTGAAATAGCAGACAAATAAATAAAAGAGTTCAGATCAGACCTCTAAAAGCAAATGTTCCCACCCTCAATTCTGAGTCATAAGTTTGCTTGCCTGATTTAGCTTTCCCTGTCAAGTTGCTCTCCATAAAAGGAAATTTACTAGCCAAAGTACGTGAAGTTGATGTGTCTCCTTGTTCCCATGCTCGAGACAGATTTAACAGGAGCTCTCCTAGTTCTTGACCACACTGAGAATAATGACCAACAGTCGGTGAGGAGACAATAGCATAAGTTTCTAGACTCTAGTAATAGCAAAAGCATAGATAAACACGAGGAATATCCAATTAAGGATTGCGTGCAAATTCAGGAAACTATAGCCATAGCCGTGAGTAAAATGATACATTAACGAAACCATAGCGATGAGAAAACCCCAACCTCATCAATAACAGGTCCATTCGAAAGATCAAACGCCGCATCATTAAGCTGCACACAATTGACAATTACACAGAACAACTCAGAAATTCTTCGATCATACCCTAACCGGAGACATCTCCGAAAACCAGCAGCCGAAGAAGGACAAAAGAGTATCACTCACATCCAACCGAAGATCGTTAGGCAATTTCCGGAAGTAATCCGATGGAAGATCAAAGCAATCCTGCAAGCCACCAGACGTAATAAAGCCGATGGGGAAGCAAAACCGAACCAGAGATCGGTCGATCAGCATGAACTTACGGAGAGCTGCTGTAGGAGAGACTGAATGGAAGAGCCAAGGGACTGAGGGGAGTCTTCCGATGATTCCGTGAGGGCGAGCAATGGAGTGACGGGAGGCTTTGATTTCAGAAGCGTTCGGAATTTTGGAGAAGGAAGAGGAGAAGCTAAAAGGTTAGGGTTACGGAGAAAGTGACGGGGAATAGATGGAGAGATAGCGGAAGGGAGAGGGTGGAGACGGAAAGAACAGGACGACATTGGTGATCGCCGATTGGGTTGAGCAGCATAGAGCAGAGCAAAGTGAGAAAATGAAGGAGGACTTGGGTGGGATGAAGGTGGCCGTTCGAATTCTGATTCTTTTGGTAGTTGTGGTCGTTAGCCACTCTGGAAATGGATATTCTCAGGAAAAGAAAAGCGTTGTCGATAAACTAGAGTTGGATGTATTTCATTTGAATCATATACTTAAACTATTTTGGATATTTGAATTTCTTATGTTTCTATAATATATATTAATAAATTAAAAACTCTCTCGTCTCGTATAATCTAAATGCTCGGGAAGTTTGAGCTATGAGCAAACGCCTTAACCAACCAATGAATTTTTTTTTTTTTTTTTTAACATAACCACTACATGTTCTTAAGTTAAAATTCTTTACTTTTACTCCATGCGTGTTAAATATTAACTGAGTCGATCATAAACATATACAATGTATAATAATCAATAATTTTTTATGAGTGGATTAATGCTACCCAAGATAGTCAAATTGATTATCTTATAAATATACATTGTGAATTTTGGGTGAATATAAACTAAATGTCATTTTGAAAATGTCTTTATAATTTAATAAATTAAATTAATTTGAAAACTCTTACAAAAAGTATGAATTTTAATTCAATTTGAAATAAAATGTACATATTTTAGATATGTTGCTATTTTTTATAGTTAAGATATTTTACCATTGGTACATCCAACTTTTCTTTTATATTAAAGGAAAAGGATTTTGCTGTATCGGATTTCCATTGCGGAGATTTTTTTTTTTTTTTGTTCTTTTTTTTCGGTGTGATGGGTGGAGAGTTTTTTGGTAGAATAGAGAGTACATCCAACTTTTCTTTTATATTACCCAGGAAACTCAACCCCACATGCTGCTTAGTGGCATCCGATAATAGGAGAGCACTCGCGGTGCCTCCGGGAACACCAAGTGATCTACAAAATGAGATACATTTTCAATATATTTTGAGAGAAAAAAATTTTAACGCCTCTCATTACCAACTGCATACCATATGGTAGTTTCTTCGTTTTTAAGTCGTTATGAAATTTTTTGCACAGAATGAACGAGTTCGTCATGATTTATTGGACCTACAAATTTCTAGATGAACAAAATACAGTACCAAAAAATACCACACAATACCATCCAGTCCACCCCGGTACAGGGTGATATCTTGTGGTACACAATGTTGAAAGTCGTAAATGACAGTTAGGATTAATTGTATGGTTGGCCACTGAGATTACAAAAAACGTTCCAGTTTGGTCACTCGAAATATTTAAATCCATTGGTGATACTTTAGTTTACTGAAACCGTTCACGTTTGTTCACTCTCCTTCCAATTCCGTTAACTTTGGCTGATGTGGCAGTCAACTCTCGAATTTGACTGTTAACTTAGTGACACGGCAATTAAGAAATAATAAATAAAATAAAATTTAATCTATTATAATGTCCAACTCATTTTACCATAAAATAAATAAAAGAAATGAAATAAAAAAGTTAATCTCCATCCTCTCCGAAAAGGACGGCACCGATCAATCTGCTCGATCTTGACTCAATTCGTCAGAAGGTTCTTTCCACACTGTGATCCCCAACTGCTAAGCGGCCTCAGAATCGGGTTGATGTTCGTGCTTGGTGTCGGATTCGGATTCCGATCCTCCTTCTTTGAGGAATTTCCTCAAACGGTTGGTGAGCAGGTAAGGGTGGAGGTCACCGAGGAAGAGAAAAGGGCGCTTGAGCGAGTTGCGCTACGATGGGTGGAGGAGGTGAGCAGCTAGACGTGAAGACAGCTTTCCTACATGGAGAGTTGGAGGAAGAAATTTACATGACTCAGCCAGAAGGATTCGAGGTTCCGGGAAAGGAAGACTATGTTTGTAAGCTGAAGAAGTCCTTGTATGGACTTACGCAGTCTCCGAGGCAGTGGTACAAGAGATTTGACAGTTACATGCTTGAGTTGGGCTATAGCAGAAGTCCATATGATTGTTGTGTGTATCACAACAAGGTGGAGGATGGTTCGATGATCTATCTTCATCTGTATGTGGATGATATGCTCATAGCTACGAGGTCGAAGTCTGATATCCAGAAGTTAAAGGGGCTTCTCAGTGCTGAGTTTGAGATGAAGGATTTGGGAGCTGCTCAGAAGATCTTGGGTATGGAGATATACAGGGACAGGTCGAAGAAGAAGCTTTTCTTGTCATAGAAGAGCTACATCCAGAAGATACTGTCGAGGTTTGGCATGTCTTCAGCAAAGCCCTTAAATACTCCCAGTGCTTCAAATGTTCATCTATCCTCAGCTTATGCACCGCAGTCAGAGGCTGAGAAGGAGTACATGTCGAGAGTCCCATATGCTAGTGCAGTAGGTAGCTTGATGTACGCTATGGTATGCACTAGACCTGATCTTGCACATGCTGTTAGTGTTGTCAGCAGGTTTATGATACAACCTGGGAAGGAGCATTGGCAGGCTGTGAAGAGGATCTTCCGGTACCTTAAGGGTACACCTGATTTGGGGATTAGCTTCGGAAGTGATATAGAGTGCTTGGTGTCTGGGTATTCTGACTCGGACTATGCTGGAGATGTTGACACGAGGAGATCGATGACCGGTTATGTATTCACTCTTGGGAGTTCTATAGTGAGTTGGAAGGCAACTTTGCAGTCGGCGGTGCCATTGTCTACTACTGAGGCAGAGTATATGGCATTGACAGAAGCTGCTAAGGAGGGAATATGTGGTTGAAGGGACTGGTTGGTGATCTTGGTCTACATCATGATCAGACAGTGGTGTATTGCGACAGTTTGAGTGCAATATGCTTGGCTAAGGATCAAGTCCACCATGAGAGGACTAAGCACATCGATGTGAGGTATCATTTCTTGAGGACAGAGAAGAGGATTAAGGTGAAGAAGGTTGGCACCGCGGATAATCCTGCTGATATGTTCACGAAGCCGGTTCCACATGGCAAGTTCCAATACTGCTTGGACTTGCTGAATGTCTTGAGTGGGTGACTCCGCCCTGCGTGGCATTGATGGCGGGAGAGAGAGAGAGAGAGAGAGAGAGAGAGAGAGAGAGAGAGAGAGAAGGAGCAGAGTACATCAGAGATTTCAGAGGAAGAGGATTCAAGTCAAGGTGGAGATTTGTTGATGTGACTTGAATTGGACTATCAGCCGCTACGACTGGTAATCGGGGGCCCACGGTGTATGAGCTCAATGTTATTTGGGTTCGAGTTTTGGGCCTGGTATGTAACCGTTTCCTTTGCCAGATTGGATTAGGTTTAGACCCACATGGAGAAGTACTATAAATACTTCTCATACTCATCTGAAATCTCCTCGATATAGTGTAACTGGCTCTCTCTTGCCCGTGGACGTAGCTAACACACATCGTGTTAGTGAACCACGTAAATCGTGTGTCGTGTTTTCGATTCTCGCTTTCGTATTCTTGCTTTGTCGAGTCCTGCGATTTCCGTAGCAGCGCGTTTATAACATGTATATATGTATGGAGATGGTGACCGAGAAGAATTAAGAAATACGATTGGCTTGGAAAGTTTATACTATCCCGTGGACTATTCTCGTATTCATGGAAATCATGTTAAATTTAGTGTCTTGTTCTTTACATATTAGTTTGTTTATAGAATTTGGGCATTCGCTAAACAACCGATGAATATGTGCACACTAATATAACCTCTTTATGAATTGACAATGGAAACTTGCCTAATCAATAGCTAGAAAACGTGAGTTAAGGGGAAAATGTCATACATGGAAGAAGAAAAAAATCGTTTTTAAGGTAAGTTCTAGCCAAAACGGAAAGTTGCCTAATCAACTGCTAGAAGATATGGGTTAAGAAAAAAAAACTAGCTTTTACAGACCGTTTGGTACCAAATGAATCGATAGTTTATTTCATTGTAAAATGAATTACCGTGTAGAATTCATTGTTAAATGAAATTTTGTGTTTGGTATGTCATATTCAAATCCTTAGAATTAAAATGAATTGTCGTGCAAAATTCGTTGTCAAATGATTTCCTATGTATGGTATGTCATATGTATAAGTAATTTAGTTAATAAAAGAGGATAATTATATATAAGTAATTTAGTTAATAAAAGAGGATAATTATATCATTCTATTATAATTAGTCAATACTTGTGTAATGCATTTGGAAATTTCATCTTAATTCCTCTGAATTGCTATAACTAGTTCCAATTCCATAGAATTCAAATTTTAGAATTGAAAATGAATTCTCTTAAATACCAAACACAAAGATTTCCAAATGAATTCCTCATAAAGAAAAAAAAAATCATCTTTAAGGTAAGTCATCACAAGTCTTAGGGTGTATCGTCCCACACCCCATTAGACCCCTTAAACAACTACTTGCAATTTATATATATATATATGGGTCACACTCGTATGCGTCAGACACATACTATGCGACAAGATTTCTACACCGTAGATCTAATCTAACGGTGTTTAATAATTGGAATTAAATTATTTAATTTTTACAATTTTTAAATGATTAGTTGGTCCTATTACTTTTTTATGCGTACCCTTTAACCCCTAAACAAACTTTTCAACATATTTTCGAATTATAGTACCAAATTTTATTCTAATCATGTCTCCAATCCATTAAGTTATATTTACTTACAATTTTAGTTTGGTGATTTATTCCTTTTCCCACTCATGTCAACGCTCAAACCCCCTTTCCAATTGCTGTCTGTAGTGGCTAACGAACCCTCTCCTCTCATCCTGGCTATCGATTGAAGCAATTGGATTTTGCGCTTCCCATCGATGTTTAATCCCTCTATGGATTAAGAGAGTGATCTGTTCGAGGCATGATGGATTGAATCTTGTGCTCGAGAGGCGGATGAGGAAGGATCGGAGAAGTGAAGAGTGCAGACTCGAGAGGTGGGCCGAAGTGCGGATCGCCCATAGCGGTGGGTAGGTACGCTGCCGTACGCTGCCGTCAATTGACGGTGAACGACTATGACCTTTACGTCCTGTAAACAATGACTAAGGCTGAAATGGCGAGAGGGGATTGGGTCTCGTCAAGGGAATTCTCTTGGTCGGAGTCCAGAATCGTAACGGAGTGAGAAAGTTTGGACGATGAAGAGAGACGGCCGTCGGATTACGGTGGTGATGGCGGCAACTAGATAATTGGCAATTTGGGGGGCTAGGGAAGACGACGATACATGAAAGGGAATTCTCTTGGTCGGAGTCCAGAATAGTGAGAAAGTTTGGACGA